GGGCCTGCCTGCAGGCAGCTGCCTGCAGCAATGCCTTTGAATGCATCCTGCTGCTGTGCACATGTGGGGCTCCTGAGGCTGCATGCTCAACACATGGGCACAGGGATCAATCTCAGATCGACTTGAAAGGAGGAGAATGATCCGTGAAGTGATTTATAAACTTGTAAGGAAAAGCACAGACCTCAGGAAAAAAAAAAGGGAAAAAAAAAAAAAGGTAAAATCCCTCCTCCCTTCCTACTCCTTTCATGTAGGAGCACCCGGCAGAACTCCTGGCTGTATCATCTGGTTCTTCTTAAAACACTCCATTATGATCAGAAGCAGCAGTACATTTCCCCAGGGCCTCCGCAGCCAGGTTAGGTTACCTGCTTTTGTGGGGATATCCAAAAGCCTGGAAAACCCAGGGGAGAAGCAAGCCCAAGGAAGGGGAGCAGGAGTCTCACATTTCCACCCACGGTGACAAATCCATGTTGGCTCTTAAACCCCTGAGTCGGTGCTGATGTCACTAACTTAATGGCCAACTGCAGGAGGAAAAGTGTCCCCCTGGACATGGAGAGCATCCAACTGTCTCTGCTCTCCTCACTTGCAGACTTGAAGTACCCATGGGCAGCAGAAGCCAAACGTTTCCAGCCCAGGTGAGACACAGCCCAACACAGGGAGTCCCAGCTGGGAGTAGGGGATGGACACTAACAGATGGCGATGGAGCAATATGCACCCCCAGGGCACTTGGTCCTGCTCAGTGGCTGGAGGTCTTGGGTCTGGCAGTGCATGGTGCCCCCACATACCAGAGGCCTTTGGCTTCTCATTAGGCCTGGTGTCCTCCTGAGCAGCTCATCCCAGGACAGGGGGATTTCAAAATTTCCCCCAGTGTTGGGGAGAGATGGCCCATTTCACTGAGGAAATGCTGCAATAAAGATGATGCTCTGGGCCAGGACTTTTACCGGTGTTAGAGGGAGAATAGACTGGGATGCTCTGGGGTTGACAGTCCTTCAAGCATTGACTTGTTTGGGAAATTTCAGCCTTTTCAAGACCCATCCAGTCCCTGTCAAAAAAGTGCAGTACACAGGCTGATGTATGAAGTGTGTCATGCACTGGGGCAGGAGATGGGGCAGCTCTCAGCATCAGCTGTGTCCCCAGTCCCAGAGACAGAGATGGGCCTTAATGGAGAACAGAGTGCAACTGTGCTCTCCACCTGGCTCTGTGACATCCTGGAGCCCAGGGCAAATCATCATCCCATCTGTGCCAGCATAACAGCCCTTCCTGCAGGCAGGGAAGGCTGCAGGGTGCCCAAGGCCTGGCAGACAGAAGGCAGATGACAGCTCTGTGCGTGCCTGGGACCTGCTCCGGCAGAGGATGCCTGTCACCCGGACAGGCAGGTGGTGGTCCAGCCTGGAGCAAGGGGCTGGGTGGAGGGCTGGACCAGCACACATTATTGGACCCATGCAAATCCATATGGATGGTACTTGCAAACTAGGAATCACTCAAACAGAAAGCAGGAACCTCTTTGCACTGCTGCTGTGCCCAGGTGGCCATACTCACTGCACAAGATCCCAAGGATGGCAAGCTCTAAGCCTGTCTCCACTCCTATCCCTGCTCTAAAGTTGCAAAGCATCCTAGCTTCCCACTGAGCATAGGAGAGAGGCAGAAAGAGGGGGCAGAGACAGAATTAAACATGCACCAACCTCATGGCCCGCAAAGCCAGCTTGTATGCCAGGTCTGCATCATGGGGCAGCAGGGCAGAGAACAGGTATTTGGCAAAGGTGTGCATGGGGACACTCTCACGATGGATGACTTCTCCCAAGCCGCTGAAGGGACCACCTAGGCGAAAGCAGAGCCCATCAGCCATAATTAGCTCAGCGGGATCTGTGGCTGGAGTTTATAACACCCCAAAGCTTGGACGTTCATCTCCCTGGTGCGTTACTCAAGTTGGATCCAGGGCTGCTCTTTTCTAAACGAAACCTTTCAGGTCAAAGTGCTTCAGAAACTGAGGCCACATGCTTAGCACCCTTCTCCATACCACCTCTGAGTCGGTCTTGCTCCAGGGATGCCAGCAAACCCTTGCTTTGCCAGGCAATGGGGCAGAGCAGCCATCCTACAGGTTCTGCACCACACCCACAGAAGAGGAAGTTGGGATGGGGTCAGCCAGGTAGAAAGGGCACCCCAGAGGTGTTACCCACACTCAGCAATGACACACAGGTCAGCTAGCTGAACCTAGCCCCCACCTTCCAGCAGCAAAATGCACTGCTTCCGCAGGGTCTGCACCAGCACTGGATCCAGCTCCAGGTCCTGCAGCCGAGCAATGATCTGCTCCTCATTACGGCAGACCTTGTCCTGGGCGTAGAGACCTTCAGGCATCACTCTCTGCTGACCCATCCCCATCAAGGCCACCTCTAAGGCCAGGGACAGGTAAGACTCGCCACTGTCTTGGCTGCCAGTCGTGACGGGCACGTGTTGATACACTGGGGGTTTGGAGTCCCCAGCGTCTGAAAGAAGGGAGAGGAGATGCAGTGGAATTAGAAGGGTTTTCCTAGGTAGCAGAACCACAGCAAAGAAAAACCTCTCAACTTCAGAAGCAAGACCCACCCTCCCCTTCCTCTCTGCCTTCAGTCACACAGAGGTGAGGGATAAAAGCTGCCTGAGGGAGATGTGGGCTTCACCCTCCCTGCTGCTCTTACTAGGAGATGCAGAAGACCCAAGACGTGCAACAGGGTGCACAGCTGACACCAAAGCCTTCCCATGGGCCAGTATGCCTCATGCCAGCTCTGCTGAGCCACTCTCCTGCTGTGCTCTGACTGCAAACCCCAGGACTGGGAACATTCCGGATCACTACCTTCCTTCTCTGCACTGCAGCTTGCCCTGGCTGCTCCTGCCAAGGCAGAGAGTGGAGACTCAAAGCCCAAGCGTCCAGAGCCCCAGACCTACACCCAGCTCAGCCACAGCTACCGGGAAGGGAGCCAGGAGTAGCGTTTGGTACCTGAAATTTCAAGGCAATTTTCCTCTTCTAGTCTACAAGCTTCGGTCAGGGTGAGAAAGAGGCAGCCGATGGGGTTCAGAGGGTGGCCTACCCAGCCCTCCAGGTTGGTGATGGTTGTTGCTCCTCGCTGCAGCAGCTCTGCAAAAAGAAAAACAGACCAGAAAGATGGCTAAAGTAAGGAATTTAAAGACAAGTTCTGCATCCGGAGGGATTTCTGAGACCAGAAGCTTTTTCTTACCCCACAACCTGGGACACAGGGACCTTCAGGGTCAACTCTGGCATGGTAGTTCACAAGGGCAAGGAGCAGCTCAGAGCAGCCACTATGCACAGACAACAGAGGGAGCAGGCACACACAAAAACCAGGTGCCCCTAACACCACATAAGATGCAGTGACTTGCTCTCTGTTCCAGAAGGATGGGAGGGACTGCAGAGTCCCAAAATGGGGTCTATAAAGTCAGACCTGCAGCTTATGAACCGATTTGCAATGGTAGCCTGAATGTTTTGGAAACAAGCCGAAATCTCTCCTGAGACGACAGAGCCTTCCAGAGAGCCTTAAAAGCTCCATCTTTTGGTGATCTCAAGCTGTCTGAGCTAGCAAGGACCAGGAATCACCGATCTCCAGCAGCACTGCAGTAACTAGCTCCGGCTCCCTGCCAACTGCAATTGCAAAAGGAGGAACATTGGGCTTGCCTCCTGGTACATTCACTCAGGGAATGCAAGGTGGAGGTAGCACATGCAGCCAGCTACTGCTGCTCTGCAGACAGGCAGCTACTCTTTAATTCAGGCGGCACTTGTCTGCGCAACCCTTACAGGCAACCAGACACAGCAACAGTGGGAACAAGCACATCCCTAATTCCAGCAGCCTGAAGACAGCATGTGGGCAGCTCTGTCCTCAGCACGTGTGTGCCAACACAGCTTGGCTCAAGCAAACAGTTTGTCCTTCTAGGATGTGACTAATCCCATGCAGTGCTGCCCACCCTCAACTTCTGCCACTCTGAATGGGGCAGCACAACTCTTGGAGGTGGAGAAGACTTTCCCAGCCAGACCTCATGAGACACTTCTCCCATAGCTCTACTCATACCTTTCTTCTGATGCTTATATATTTCCAGCTGCCTTTGCTGCTGCAGTCGCAGGGTGTTGATTATGGCAACAGTTAGTCGGAGAGCTTCTCTGGGATAGCCGTGGGAGCGCAGGGCATCCACCCGAGCACAGGCTGTGGGGACATGTTCTGCAAGGCAAGGACAAGCACAGGGGCGTGGCTGAGCCAGACAAGCACAGATATTTACAGGATGGTACTGACGGGGCATTTTCTCCTACTGATCTTCCACACGCTCCAGATAAACTCCTGCTTCCTGTCTTGAATTCATCCCTGTCTCTCTGCTCCTGGACAGGATGCCTACCAGGAATACTAACAGGACTCCTACCACATTCAACCCACAGCAGCCACGTCAATACCTAAATCCCCACCTCCGCAAAGCTTATCTAATGGGAGCATTCCAACACACCATTGCTGCAATACGACAGCTCCAGCCTAGGCTGTTACAACCCTGCCACTCACTTCTAAAATCCACACAGCTTATCATGATTTCTTTCTCAGCTGTGCACCCAAACGCTTCTTGGTGTCCTGTCCAACACCTCTCCCTGCTCTCATGGCACAGGCAATGGCACACAGGGTGAGGCTGGGCATCCAGCACTGCACGGGGGTCACTGGCAGATTTGAGGTAATGCTTTGAACTGCCTCCTTAACACCTCCATGGAGTGAGCTCTGCGGACACCCCATCTCTTCCGCAGCTCTCCTACCTGGTGTTTTATTATTAGGAACAGTTGCATGAAACCCCCTCCCAAGACTCACAGTTGCTTAGGAATTCATCTGCTCCTGCTGCTTATTGCTCACCTGAAATCACAAGCCACTGTGGAGAGGATTATGACTGAGTGAGAAATTAGGAGGAGCAGATAACATGACATGCTGCATAACAAGCAGTGAAAATCCCATTTTCTTGCAAAATGTCCTACCAAGGGGAGAAAAAACCCCAGGCAAACAGAAGACCTAAAGTTATGGTAGAGGGATAATTTCTATTCCTAGAAGACCTCAGAAAGCTCTGGAAATGCTGACAACCACCTCCACAAACAGGGTTTCCATGTCCCAAAGGTCACCCACAAGGAATATGTGAGGAAGAGGTTTCAGAACAAATACAACTGTAAAAGAGCTTCTTGTTGCTCCATCTATTCATCTGCTAAATGGATAAAATATTCATCTCGCTGAATTCATCACTGGAAGTTGCTGACAAATCACACTCCTCTCCCAGCACTGAGTCCCTGAAGGGATGCCAAGAAAGCAAAAGCGCAAAATCCAAGAATCACAGCAAATACCTCAGAATAACATGCACCAACCAGCTGTGCCAAAGGGCTCACCATAACCCAGATTAGGCTAGGGACAGATGAGCTGTGACCATCATGTCCCTTCGACATGGAGCCCATGGATGCCCTAACCCACCACTGCTGCCTGTGCCTGTGTGGGGAGAAGACCTGCTGCCTGCAGATGCCCAAAGCTCTTCCCAAGGTAGAAACATCCTCTCCTGCTCCAGCTAAGGTGTACCAGCAGCCTTCTTACACGCCCTTCCTATCTCCTGGCATTAACAGCAATTTAGTGCCTGCTGCTCCAGAAACCACCTAGATGACTTTAAATATTCTCTTCCCATTTGGCTGGGTGATGGCAGACCTTGGCTCCTGGAGTGGACAACAGTGCAGTGGTGGGTTTTGACCTGTTCCATGTCCATATGTTCACCTCTTGGGCAGTCATCCCAACTCCTGGACATGGTGGGGAGGCTTACATCCCCATTTTGGGGTCAGTCTGAGGGCTGACAGCCATACCTGGTACCCCCAGGCCCTTCATCTCAACCTGTTTTCATCCCAGACATGTAGCTGTTGAGGGTCTGCAGATCTGCCCAGGGTCATTACTTTGCAGCAGAGAACTTGTGTGGCTTGAGGTACATGGGCTAAACATCTACAACACTGGAAGCTGCTGGGCTTGCCTAGCCCAGTATGTCTTAAGCTCACACAAGACTTATTTGTAGTATCTGCTAATTGCCTTTATGGGAAAACTGATAAGATGGTGAAAGCAGAGAAGAAAAAATCCAGAGGATACAGCTGTGCTCCCCAGACAACTTTCAAAGGACTTTAAGTGCCCTGTCCCCCTGTACTGGAAACAGTGAAAATTTGTCCTGGGACAGTTAAACACTAGCAGGATGAAAGAGGACATGATGAGCTGGGTCCAAGCTGTCCAAGAGGAACCCAGACTGTAAAGCTGTGGGGATTGCTCTAAGGACCATGGCTGGCGTGTGGGAGGGCATCAAATTCTGCTCATCCTACTCCTCAGGCTAAGGGCCAGGCCATCAATTCCAATCTAGGATGCAGAAGCTTGCAAGGACCCAGGGTAGCCTCAGGTGGCTCTTCTCCACTAGCAACCCTACCCACACAGGCCATGCAAGGGGCTGCTGGTTTGGATGCTCCCCTAGCCACAGTGGCTGTCCCTGGGAGTTGAAGAGGAGGCTCTCACCCTCCCGCTGGTAGGCAGGGGACACATAGAAGTCACTGCTAATGATGCGCTGCAGGTGGCTGTCCTGCCAGTGCAGGTCACAGCCCTCGATCGCCCGGGTGAACACGGTTCGTCTGGGCCTGGCCAGTGAGTCTGCAAAGAGAAAAACCATCAGTGCCTTGGTGGGGTGGGGGCAGCCTGTTCCTCCTCCCAGACACAACCTCGGTAAGCAGAGGTCTGTCTTTACAATGTAAGCAAAGCCCCACCTAGTTCCACCCCAGTCATTTCCAAGAGGGACACAGGGGTTCTGGGGCAGATTGCCTTTGGATACCTCTGCTGTCCACCCCATCTCTGACAGAGACTGTCTCCCTAGACAGCATTGCTAAGTAACTTGCTAGAATAGCTGCCCTGGCCCACCCATGTGTTTGCTTTCTGACTACAGTCCAGTGTCATAGACAAGGCTGATGCCTTGAAACATGGCAGTGCATTCCCTCCCCTGTGATGCTCAGCACACAGGACTGGGCTTCCTCAGCATTACTGCCTCGCAAATACCACACGCTCTCCTCCTCCTCCACTCCAGCACCCCCTTGCTGACCCACAGCTTCTTAGATCAGCAGCTGAAGTTTGAAAGGAACTACAAAGCTGTCTCATCTGCCTCCTGGCAATGGAGGGAACCATCACTTTCCAGCAACCTCTGTGGGCTGCATGAGGACTGGAAGGGAGGAGACAGCACCATCTGGAACCTGACTGCTACCCTGCAGTGCATGTCTCCGCTCTTCTTTAGAGTTGTTCTGTAACTTCATGGATGTTTCTGAAGCTACCAAATACTGGATGAGCACTTCACTCCATCCAGATGAATCAGGGAAGTGATTTGTCATGAGGAAAATGCCTGTCTGGAGCAATCCCTCTATTGCTCCAGTCACACTGGACCATGAAGGCCAAACACAGCCAGTGGGCTTCAAAACAGGAAGCCCCAAAGGGCTAACTGAATGTTAGGTCCTGCAACCCTCAACACAGGACGAGTTAAATGCATTCAAGGGTGGAAAACAAAAGGCACTGCTCAAAGCTGATCCAAGGAGTCTGGATAAACACTTTCTGGAAACGATGGCAACAAGCAATTAGCCAGAATGCTGCAGGCACCCCGAGGTGAAGAGAAATTAAACAGGTGTTTGTACATAGAGAACCAAGCCTGCTCACTTTACCAGGAAGGATTTCAGGAATCAGCTGTTCTTCTTCAGTAATAAAAGAGGCTGGCAACAACCTGCAGCAGTATTTGCATACGCACAAACATGAACCCCGGGGACACCTTCAGGATCCATGCAGCTTTCAGTCCCCTGCCTGGAGAGGCAGGAGCACAGGGAGAAGGGGACACCCCTGGCATGTGCTTTGGAAATTCCCTGCAGGTCTAAAACAAGTGACCTGTTCAGCCCCAGCAACCTCCCCCGAATGCCAGAGTGAATCCATAGGAGAGCTGGGAACACCGGGGCGGGCGGGGGGGGGAGCCCTGAGGCTGGTGCAGGACATGGAGCAAGGCCAGGTTTAAATTAAGCTGCTCCCTGAAGATAAGCACAGGGGGGGCACAGCAAGCAGCTAGGTGTGCAGTCCTGGCCATGGCTGGGGTGGGTTGGCAAGACAGCCAAGCTCCTGAATTGTTGCTGAGGGACTAATCCCACCCAAAAGAGTGAAGTTTTCTTTGCGGCATGGCTGCTGTCCCCCTCTCTTTGGCCACCCATCATACACTGATGACCACACATAATACACCAAACAGCAATTTCAGTGCAGCAGACAGAGAGGCATGTTACGAGCAGTAACTTTCAATTAATGACTACTTCAGGCAAAACGAAGGAGAAAAAGTGCTTAAATTTAAAGAGATCAATTGTATTGTTGGGGATTGAGAAAATACTTGAACGAGAAGGAACAACCCCATAACTACATTGCTCCGTCTGTGCTCTGCACTTGAACTGCGTTAACATTCTTGGCTAATGACTTCCTACCACCTGAATCACAGCCCCTAAATGAGGCTCAAGGGCTGGGAAAGGGGCTCTGCATCATCTCCAGCTCCTCATTCTCACCTTACAGCCAGGACTTCCCAGCTCAGCTCTGCTCCAACACAAGCAGCACTGGTTTTTCTGTATAACCCCATACTCAAACCTGCACAGACAGTAAGGGTCTACAACACCCCCAAAGTCAAACTGCTTTAAAATGGTCTCTAATTTGCTACTCAAAATACAGGTGACTTCACCCAAGGTGTAGCAAAGCGACAAACATTTCCAAGTGCATATAAAACCAGAGGCTGTAAAGAGAAATGTTTTGCATTCCTATGACTCCCAGAAACATCACCAGCAGGTGAACTGAGGTCTCTCAGCTTTGGGGTGAGTTTTGACCTGGCCCCAACCTCTGTGGCTATCAGCTGGATTTCCACTCCCTGCCCAGACTCACCTTGGCTGTGACCGGAGCTCTGCGTAAGCGCGTTAGTGATGTTGGGAAGCTCGTTACCGTAATTGCCATCTTCCAGGGGACAGACGTCCATCTCGCCCCACTTGCGCAGCTGCCGGAGCCAGCAGGATTTCTCTTCCAGCTTGCAGTGTGGGTTTAATACCACACACACCCACAGCGCCCCTAAACAAAGCCAAGAAATCCCGGAGATGTCACCCCTGTATGCGCAGGGCAAAGCTCTTCAGCTGCCCCTCACTGCTCATCGTGAGAGCCTGCAAGGTTTCACTGAGGTTTGTAAACTCATTTCAGCATAATGCATGGACCCAGGAGGGGGATTTGCACAGCTTTTAAGTAAGAAGGAAATTAACTCTATCCCAGCCAAAACCAGGACAAAGTAAAACTCCATAGTGAAGCTAAATTATAAACTCATGAGATGAGGGACAGTGGGGAGGAGGGAAGGAGATTGCGGCTGTGTATGAATTTGTGAGTGCTTCTGTCTGCCAGGACAAATCTAGTGTTTGAACTACACATCAAAGCATGCTTAAAAACACCCTGGCAAGCTGCAGAGTCTGTATCTCCAAAGACTAACCTGATTTTGATCCTACCCACGTTCCAAGCGCTTTAAAACCCGCTCTGAATGCTATTTCATCTGCCATTGTTCTTCAGGCCATTTGCATTCAACTATGTAAAAAGGAGATTTGGTGTATTCTCTTTCTTTTTTTTTTCTTCTTTTTCTTTTTTAATCCCCAGTAGCCCTCAGCCTGCAGAGGAACCAGTAGAGGAACCGGGAACTTGGCTTGATGTCTTGCAGGCAAGAGCCCTCCCAGGTGTGAGCCCTTTGGGTCTTGCAAGCAGAGATGCCCACCAATAGGATACCCATGCTGACACCTTCTAGGTCAGCCATGGGACCTCACAATCCTGATGATGCTGTCTGCTGTGTGAGAGGCAAAACCAGGCCCAAGGACGTCTGTTTTCTAAGATCCAACTCATCTTTCCATAAAACAGGGCTGATGCTGGTGCTGCTAACAGAGCCTTGCTGACTCTCCTGGGTCACCCACTGCTCTGAAAAGGCCTACAGCAACCCAAATAAGTGCAAAAGTGTGAATTCCCCTTTAGCTAATTACATTTATGCTCAAATTTCCCTGCAAGGCTGCTAGGATGCAGTATGTCCCTACTTTGTGCCTGCCCTGCAGGATGGGGCAGCTGTGGGCTGGCACACACAGTGCGTGGTGTCCTTGGGGATCCCCTCAGGCTGAACAGCCCCTGCTACTCCTCTCTCTGCCCATGTCAGATCCTGTCACACACGTGGGATGGTTCAGCCTCCTGCAGAAACACCCTCCCTGTCTCTCCTCCATAGGCCCAGCAGAGACTTGGAGCACTTTCCTTCTCTCTGCCCAGCCTACTGCTCTCCCCCATCTCCCACCACTCCCAGAGCCAAAGTTCACATCCCAAACTGACAGCCAGTGGCAGGACAATATCACCCAACACACCTCCACTGTGCAACAAGGGGATTCCTCCACAAGCCCAAACCAGCTCCCTTGCTAGCTGTCTTTTGTGCGGCAGCTCCCCAGCTGCAGAGCTGTGCCACTGAGCCAAACCGCCCTGAGCAAGGCTGCGGCTCTGACACAGCCAGAGCAGCCAATCCCTTTGCCAGGAAACACGAGGCAAAAACAGGCTGAGCAGTGCTGTCTTGGCCCTCGCTCCATTCTGGTGTCTCTTCACTCCTCTGCGTTACAGCTGAGCTCTGGTGGTGCTTTGGGGATGCAGTTCCCCAGACCCATCCTTTGCCCGTTGGGACTTCTGGATATGTCTGGTTCAAAACATCAGTAAGGCACAGAGGCTGTGCATGTCTGGCTCCTCACAGTGGCTTGGCTTGGCAGAAGAGACATCACCGCATCACAACGCAGATGCTGGCAGCAGCATCACATCCAGGAATGGGCATGGGAAAAGCCATCACAGGCACTGAGGATCAGCAAATGTCCGAAGCTCTTGCCCCGTCCAGCTCCATCTCCATTTCAGCTTCGCTGCTCCCAGGAAACCCCACCAAAACCCCACTCCTTTCTGATGAACAGGGAGAATTAAGACTTCTGAGATGCAACATCTGCAATTAATTAATCTGTAAAAGAAGAGCTACCTCCTTAGGGGCTTTAGGGGCACATCTTTCCCAGAGTAGGTCCCTGTCATTCACTCCCAGGCTCCTGACGGCTCCATGGGAGCTGCATTTTGAAAAAAATCAGTCTCAGGTCCGGAAAATGAGTCTGCCCTAAGGCTCTGGATGCTGTCCCTCAGCTGAGCAGTAGGTGCCTGCCCACTGCCACTGCAAGGACTTTGAACTCCCCACCTCCTCGGGGGGCCAGGAGATAAATCCTGCACTTGGTTCCTTGTGTTGGGCATCTCCTTCCCACCAGCACTGCTGCCTGTTGTCATTGTCCTTTTTCGCCCACTCTGGGGCTGTTTGTGTGAAAAGCAGCCTCCGGCGATTTCAGCTCCTGCCTCTGATGGTGCACTGAGCTTGGCTGACAGGTGGTAACAAGGTTTGGTGCTCTGGCTCCACCGCCCCCAGGAATGGGATGCACCCGCTGGATTTTTGGCTCCCACAGCTCAGCTAATATGTGATCCTCGGAAGCCTCATAACTTTGCAGCCTATTTTTGGGAGCCCTTCGAGGCATCCTTTGCCTGCCAAAATGTTATGCCCCTGGGTTCTCCTGCAGAAGGGAAGATGTGGTGAGGAGGTGGCAACAAGCAGGGAAGAGGGATTTGCATCTATCTTGGCCACGATAGTTATCTGGAATATTGAATAGAGGCGTTTTCTGAGCCCTATAGTCAAGTGACATCAGCTGACTGCACAAGTGACTCCTGCCCTGAGCCGAAACGCCACACCGGGTCAGACTCTGTGTCTGTTCACATGCTGCAGAAACCTTCATCTGAACTTTCTGATAGCAGGAGGTTAAGCGGGGAACAAAGTGGCAGATCACGATTAAGCTAAGCCTCTAAACAAAAATGCTTTTTGATGACGGGGCTGGGTGCAGGGACGGGGGGGTCAGAGCCTTCCCAGCCCAGCAGTCCTGGCTGCCGGCCCCGGAGAGGACAGGCACTCCAATCCCGCGCCCAAGTTTCCAAACCATCAAAGAAATTCTCCCGTTTCCCACAGGGTCGCTCCCCAGCTTAATCTGCTGAAATTCCCCACTGTAAACAAGTGGCTGAGATAAATAAACCCGTCTCCAGGCAGATTAAGGTCAGGCTGCACTTCAGCTGGTTTTTCGTCTATTTTTTGTAATTAGGCTTTAATCGTAAGTACTAATGCGCCAGGGCAAATACTCCCACGCCACAGAGCTCTCCATCCAGCAGGTCCTTCCTTCGGCTCCCCAGCAGACGGGGCAATAGACGTTCAGTTGGCAGCACAAGTGAACGATCCCGTTTTTATTTTAATTTTTTTTTTACAACTCTGAAATCCTGCAAAATCCTTTACATTTTCCCCAGCATAAATCCACAATCTTCTTTAAGGCTGATCTTCTTCCAATCCCACGCAAGTCTGTGATGCAGTCTTTGCTAAAATCGATGATTAATTATTAAGCACGTGCCCAAAATAATTTCCAAGAGGCCCATTTTTCGCTTCCACGTGGCAGAGGACTGCGGTCTGTGTCGGGGCTTTCCACGACAGCTGGCAACAGGCCCCTCATCCCTCTTTACGGCAGCAACAGCAACACTGGCAGCTTTGGCATCTGCAGCCCACTGCAGACAAGGTGCCTTCACCACCCACATGCCCTGGCTACTGTTATCTACCCAGGGATGGTTTGGGACACCTCTGTGCATTGCTGATGTTTGTTACTGGTGAATACCTCCAATTCATGGCATCTCTGGTCCCTCTGTGCTTCCACCCTTTCTTCAGAGAGATGTTCTGTTCCTACAGCAAATGCTGCCCAAGGCCAAATCCCAAAGGCTTCTGTAAAATGAGGGGAATAATCCCTGCTTGAGTGCAGTCCATGCCCATCCTTTCCTGGAGCTGAGTCTTCAAACATTACTGTGTCCGCTACAGGGGCTTCTCTTCAACATGGAGATGCCCAGACCCTCAGAATCAGAGAATCAGTCAGGTTGGAAGGGACCATGGTGGGTGATCTGGTACAACCTCCCTGCTCAAGCAGGTTGTCCTAGGATTGCATCCAGATAGTTCTTGAATACCTCCAGTGAGGGAGACTCCATGATCTCTCTGGGCACTCCCTCCCATGTGACATGCCTACACCAGGCGAGCTGCTTGCTCTGACGCGTGTTGGCTGGCACCATGCTTCCCCTGCTGTCACGGTGATCCAGTCCTGGTAGGGCCCTGACATTCCCCAGCCACCTTGCCATCTGCTGACAGGGATGTGCTATCACCTCCTCCCACTTTGCCAAACAAAACTGCACACATCAGCCTGGTCCATGTACAGTTAAGCCAGGACTGAAACCCAACCACTCCCCTCTTGTCTGTGCAGGAAGGGAAGGAGGGCTTTGGGCTTGGGAAGCAGGTTGGAAATCTGGCCAAATAATCTGTAATCTTGGGCAAATTTCTTCCTGCATCCAGGCCTGCCCACACCCATCCATTCATGTTTCACCTATGTGTTTGCTTTCTTCCATGCAGAAATTCTGGCTTGATGGACTTGGCCACCTCTCCAGGATCCTTGCATATCCAACTGTCTAGCTGCAGCATCTCAAAATCCTGGATATATCTTCTTGGCAAGCAAGCACAAATGAGCTCTCCAGAGCTGGTGTGGTTATTTCCATCCAGGGAACTTCATACAGAAGCAAGACATCCCACCCCTGCCCAGCCCCTGTCTGTTGAGTTTGGCCAGGGTTCCTGACCTCGTGGCGATGTCTGCATTTGTTGGGCATTCGTAGGAGGGTCAGTGATTCCCAGCTGCAGTTTCAGATGCTCCAGATCCTGGACCATCCTAATCCTTCTCCCAGCTCTACAACATCCCTTTGGTGCCAGCCCATCAGCTCTTGCCCTTGCACAGCATCTCCTACAGCAGGCTGTAGAGAAGCTCAAACTCACTCGTAAAACTATGGCGCAAGTCAAGCTATTCACCCAAGATGTCTAAGAGAGCCCAGAACTGCTGGGTTAACTTCAGTAAACAACCACCCTCCCCAGGCCCACATCATCTAAATGTTTTATTCTAATGATATTACGGTGTCAGCCAGCTGAGCCAGTGTCTAAGATGCTTAGCTAGAATTACCCAGAACTGCATTTCCTTTCAGTCAGGCTCTGTGCTGGCCATCCTGCCCACCTCATCCTGGAAATTTGCTCTACAACAGGCAGAAATCTGTTAGATGTGATGAGACTAAAGAACCTGCTTTTCCTCCCCTGGAACACAGTTCCTCCAGGAACAACACTTTCATGCCCAGGCTACATCCAGCCCCTGGGGCTCACCAGCCCCCTGTGTCCTCCCTCACAAAGGCTTTGGGGCAGCACACCAAACACCAGCCTGCTGCAAGAATGGGACCGGCCACATGCTGCATATCCATTATTCTTTACACCTTTCCAGGAGAGGGGCTGGTTTGAGGTGTTGAACTGTGTGGTTTGGTTCTGATCTAGCTATCCCACCAGGATTTCTCCAGCATGGGATAGAGTAAGGTCCTGGCATCTCTCAGGGTCTCTGCTGCCAAACAAGAGCCTCAAAGGGCCTCTGGAACGACGTCTATTGGCCTGGCAGCCCAGCCAACCCTGATGCTCTCTGCAAGGCAGTGACCCTTACCCAGTTCATCCCAGAGCTGCCGGCACTTCTCTGTTATGCCCGTCCCCTGCTGCCTCCAGAGGGAGAGTCGAGGATCAGCCATGAACTGCTCCGTAATCAATGTCAGCATCCTGGCTCCATTGGAGTCCCTCATGCGTAGCATCTCCCGGACCTGGAAAGGACAGCGAGAAGGTCTTTGGTGAGATAAATCATAGTCCCTCAGAGGTGTTTCAGACACATTCACCTGGCTGGCAACCCTCACACACGTCTCCCTCACTCTGAGGGTCTAGACTGTAAATACATACATATTATATATCTATGTGTATGTGTTTGCATATTCTTTCAGTTATACATCATGACCTTCATGCAATGGCTGTGACGAGGCTGGTTGGAGTCCAGCTGAGTAGCAGGCACAGACAGGCTGTGAAGAGGAAGTGAATAAGAACAGGAAAACAAGGCCCTTCTGCAAAGAAAGAGAAGAGCCCATAGGCTGCGGACACCTTTCCATGGTCTTGGTAGGCTCTGCAGGGTTGGCATTTTCCACACCATGCTGAAGGGGAGATGAGGGAATGCACTCCCTTGCACAGGGATCATGGTAAGCCCATTGCATAGGAGGAGGGGACCTGTCAGGACAGCAGGTGAGACAACCCAGGCCTGACCCAGAGCCTGGATTTCAACTGCCTGCTCCGCAGAAGAGTGAGAAGGCACTGGAGCGGAGATTCCCAGCTGTGATGGGCACCCTGCCAGGGCAGCCAGTTAGTTGCCAGCTACGTGACACTGAGTGGAGATGGGAGACAGCAGCCGGCTCCTCACCTTGGCAAACATGGAGTTGAGCTGCTTTCCCGAGCCATAGTACCCTCCCTGAGATAGGAACAGCTTCACCTGCTCTCGGACCTGCTCCTCATCCAAGTGCCAGCAGTTCTCATCATCGATGCTGGCCCCAGCAGTGGGATCAGGAGCACCTGAAAGGACAGGGAGGAAGGAGAAAAGAGACAACTATGATTACAGCAGCAGGGTCAGCAGTCCCACCAGCAGGGAATGGACCTACCTCAATTTTATAGGGCCCTACCTTTATTTCATCAGTTCAGGTGAGGGAAAATCAACCTGATTCTCAGGCAGTGAGCAGCACCATGCTCTCCTAATATGGTGTCAGCAGTCATCAGGAGGGATCCTGACCACAGGGCCTGGCCCCTCTCCCTCTGCACTCCACATGAAGTAAGGCTGAAGAAGAGCAGGGACCTGCCTTCCTCCAAAGCCCTGGGGGTGTACGCAGAGCAGCTGGAGTGCCCGGAGCGCTCCACAGCTCCAGGGATTGCCCAGGGTGCTCATCCTCCTGCTCCACATCACTGCTTTGTTTAAGCATCAGTAAAGCTCCAATTCCTGCAAGCCCTTCCCCATATTTGGAACAGTCTAACAAAGGTAGCACTGCATGTAGGCTCCAGAGCCCTGGGTCAAACACCTGGTCTTGCCCCTTGTTTGCTTTAGGACAGGGGACAAGTCCCTGTGCATCAGTGTACCTGCCTGGGAGAGACCCTCCCTGGGAAAGAACAAAGGATCAATAATCCTTCAAAGAGCAAAGTGTGACCAGAGCAGGGCCTTTGGCAGGCACACACATGCATTCACAGGCTGCATTTCATCTTCTGGAGAACAAAAAAGAGAAAGCAATCCCACAAGTGCTTTAAACAACAACTTGAACCAAATTCCCCTCATCTCTTTCAAGTCCTACTTTTCCCGCCAGGCATTATGCTACCTAGCAGCGCTGGGTTCCAGGGCTCGCAGGGCAGGCAGCAGCGCAACTCCAGTGAGCAGCCAGGAGCACCAAAGGGAACAGAAACTCAGCTTTTCAGCTCCCTGCTTTTGAGTCCTGGTCTGCAGAAACTCCTCAGGAAAAACCAGTGCCAAGGAGGGACCAGCACAGCTGGAGGATGCTCCACTCCACTTTGGTCTGTTTCTCCCACCTCATCTCCCTCTCAAGTGAGGAAGAGGATCAGTGCAGGAAGAGCGAGGTGCTGCATGAAGAGCCAAGGGATGCTGTAGCTGGATCATTCCCAATTAAATCTTGATGAAATCTTCCCCACTGGACTGGGATATGGTTGAAGAGCAGACATTGCTTTCCTACGGAGACAGCTTGGGATGCCAGCCCTGCACATTGCTGAACAAGGAGCTCAAATGCAATTCATGAAAATTGTGCTCCAGCATGTCTGTGCAGCAAGGCAACTGTCTCTTCCTGGCTTGTAAGCAAGATAACATCAACCTGAGGGGTTCTGCCCCTCCAGCAAAGGCTGAGAACACTCCTGACCCAGTAAGATACAGTTTTCTGCTAAAAGTTGCTGCCTGAGAGAAGTTCCAGCAAGCTCTAGGTGTGCTGAAGGGACAGGATGCTGCTGCTCCCTCTGCAGAATAATTTACAGTCGACACGACCATGTAACTGGGACAGGAGCTGAAGCAGCAGAAAGGAAGTCGCAGCTCACGGACGAGCACAACGGCTTTAGCCTACAGCCCCACACATGCCCTGATCCCACTTCCCTGCCACGAGCCACAAGGGACCACCACGCCAGGGACAGGCCCCCCTCCCCTGCCACGAGCCACAAGGGACCACCACGCCAGGGACAGGGACAGTCCATCCTGGCCCTTTGAGCTTTTCTGTGCCTTTTCCTTCCCTCCCCCAGCCACATCCTTATCTCGCAGATAAAGAGCAGACAAGCCAGCGATTATCCCCTATCAGGAACCGATGACTAATCTGTCTACCATGAGTGCTTATCCGGCCCCATCTCTAGGTATCCCAGACGCTTGCACTCCTAATATCCTCCTGCCCACCATCCTGCCTGCCACTCCTAGCTGCAGCTACCCAGAGCAGCCTGACTGCCTCTATAGGATCACCTGGCTGCATCCACAGGGGACCAAGAGGGCATGGATGCCTGGGGTCACCCATCCCACCCTCAGTTCATCCTTGGTCCCTCACTGTGGCTGCTGTGACAGATTAAGGTGGAAGAGTTTGCAAGATGCAAAAGTGGCTGCATTTTTTTGGGGTTCCCAGGGCTACCCTCGCTGCTCACTGCTCACACGTAGCGCTAGCAACGGAAAGCCCAAGCAGCAAGGAAAGGAGCGTGCAGCTAAATAAAACCACCTCCTCCCACACAACACATTGAGCACTTCGCACGTTGGGGTTCGGGCCGCAGCCAAATTAGTAACGCGCCTCCCGCGCCTCCAAATAAAACCCAAATTTGCTTGTAAATGCATTTTGCTGTCCTATAAAAGATTCAGAGAGAGGGCTGTAATAGCAGATTCCCACACGTGCAACACAGCTCGGCAGATAACGGGCTGCCCAATTACGCTGGGGAGCTGGATAAACATTTAAGAGCAAACAACAGGATTTGTGCTGGGTTTAAATATTAATGGCAGGATTTGTCCACTTCCCCTTGCCAACGTTCGCACCATGGGGGCTTCGGCAGCGGCATGCCGTGACGCAACCGATGAGTGATTCCATGTCTCAGCTCCAGAGAAGCAGGGAACGGCATGTAAAACAGCCTGGC